TTTTTATCGTGTTAAAGAATAGTTTTGTAAGGGTTCAGTATTTTGTGAGGATCGAACAGCGCTTTCAAATGTTTCATGATCTCCACGGCTTCTTTGGATTTTGATAGGTGAATAAATCCAGGTTTCTTGAATCCCAGACCGTGTTCCGCGCTGATGCTACCATTGTATTGCGCTAGAAATAAGAATGGTTTTTGGTTAGTACAACAGACCATCAACTGTAATTTTGGAAGAACTTGATGAGCAAAGGTGCAGAGGACAACGTCATGGAATTTCTGGTGTCGAAGAGGCAARGCATGTGCAATTTTAAGAATTTTTAAAGAAATAAAATGCTGTTCGAGCATCGAGAAACACGTTTTTACTCTTCAATACAAAACTCGTTTCATAAGACATAAATATTGCAAGTTTAGTGATAACTTAAGTGTTTGTGAGCACCTCGGGGCGTTTATTTACTCTGTGGAGCACAGCTCTAATAGACCTCTGAGGCCCAGTTACGTCATGTATCGTATACGCAATGCATTGTAGGATATGTTTGGCACAAAACATGGCGGATTTCTTTTGTTTTCTCTAGAAACTAATCCCCTAATGCACTGAAAATCAAGTAGTGACGGAAAAGGTTCAGAAGTCTAAGGTAGTTGTCAATCAACCTTTTGTACATCAAAACAATCCATCAAAAGAGAAAATTGGCGTCCATATTGAGTGTACGAAGAGTATAACTTATTGTAGTAACGTACCTGTCCATTCATACAGATAAGGCTCCAAACCATCTAAAACATCGCGACTGTGTTCTTTGCTGGTTACATTGAAATGAAGATTACCTGTAAATGCGATAGAGGTACAATGACAGCAATGAAAACAAACAAACGAAGATACATAGGTACAGATAAATTTCAAACCGTATTATCGAACGCTATAATAATATAGAAGTGAACACAAAAACTAGAGAAATATAAACAAAAAATACCACCAGCAACATCAACAATAACCATCAATATCAACTCSAACAATAGAGAAAAAATGAAATAATAATGTGCAAAAAGAACASAAAGAAAGTAAAAACAACATTACCATCACCAAGGTGACCGTACCCGACGACATTCGTTGCTTCCTCCCCAAGTCTGCTCCTCATGTGAGGCACAAGGTCGTATAACTTCGTGATTGGYAAAGACAAATCGTACTACAAACATATATAATAAAAAACAATACTTCGCCAAAGTTAAAAAAAAAGGAATTTCGTTTGATAAAAAATGTCAACCGAAAGCTCTGTGATTCAAAGGTTTCAAATTTTAAAGCATGAACTTAAATGCAGCACYTGGAGACCCAAATTTTGCCAACTAGTGAAACCTTGTTTCCCTGTAAACGTTCCAACTTCGACTAGAGAAACATGTACATCAAGACTTTACCTTATAATTGTAGCCTTCATGTGTTAAACTTTCAGCAATACGTTCACGTAAACTCCATATTTCTCCGATCTTTTAAGAAAACACAGTTGATAATTTCAAAGAAATCAATTGAGATAAGGGTTGGAAGCCCAAACGTTTCAGATAAAAAATGCTGTCGCCACTWCCTCGACCAGCCCATAAGCAAGAATGGAGAAACATAGTTATTTCATAGATAATTATATGATGAAACGCATTAATATAGGTAGATACGACCGAAATTCAATGTCAATTAATTCAATCTACGTAATGAACATGTACAAGAAGAGTATTATGATCTATCGTACTGCATTCCTGTAATTCTTACCTTACTCATGTCTGTTGCAACTGTACCATTTTGAACAATACCSTCCGTCATGACTTTTTCCAAAAACAAGTTTAATTTCTACATTGGTTGCATGTTAGGARAAATAAGAATGGTATTTTAGTATTGTATTTATTGAACAATTAGTATAATTACACTGGAACATTCCAATGTTTTGTGCTCGTACCTCTTCATCATGAGCACCATTTGATCCTGACGTTTCAATTAAGACATAAAAAGAGCTCTGTGTTATTGGGTTCTGCAAGCCCAGGTTCGTCTCAACCAGGGTCATGCAAAGGCTGTCCAGGAATTCACAGGCTACASCAAAATATGGTTATGATTAGGGTTTGACGTTTTTAAACGGAGTTTTAGATAATAAATATTCAATAMGGATTGCAACGTTAAGAAGACCAGAACATTCCTGCCTCTAAATATCACCATGGATCATAAAACAAMTTTCCATGATCATGAYGTCATGTTATCATGTGTGATTTCTAATCATTTTAAATAGTTGTTCTTTATTAGCAGAGCTTACCGGAGAGAATTTCACCAAGCATTGCTTTAGCTGCCTGGAAAGTCTTGAGTACACTATCAAATGTATCGCAGGCCAAGAAGGCAACATTTATCGACTAGAATATAGAAATTAACATTTCAATCAAGTGTAGACAATCAATCGTCGAGTCGATAATCAAGGGCGTATGTCGGGCAAAGATTAATGGRCTTGCARACCCCCTTTAATATGAGGACGATAGATTCGAATTGATTTCCTCCAATTATTCCAAATTACGAATCAAACGCGAAACGAACTATTTCGCCATCACATTGTAGTTAKAAAAAAATAACCCGGATCMGTCCCTGGTATTCATATTAGCTGAAAACTCAGAGATGAAAAGTAAATCCTCACTTTGATTTCCATTGCTACAATGTACATACACAGTGCAATTGTCCATATCATTAAAATCTCGTTTTCACATGGAGAGTAGCACCAACAGTTAAACTCTAGAACGTCAATGCATAATAATATAATGCTTAACCTTTGGTCTGGTTGGGGCAAGAATCGATGCTTTTGTGATGACTCCCAGGGTACCCTCGGAACCGATGAATAGTTGTTTTATGTCATAACCTGTGAAAACGTAATGGAATGGATCGAATAATTATTAACAAGCAAGAAAACTAAGTAGCCTTAGTAAAGTTTATACATTAAGAAATGAAATAAAATAAATAAACAAAGTAAAAAAATAAATAATATTGACAAAAATAATGATAACAATGGAAATTATCCGTTTATTTACAACACGGGGGCGTTCCGCAAAATGTGGTATGGTTTTTGGCCATTAAGTCTTGGATAGAGTGTATATTTTACCAATTTGTCTTAAATAGGTTCCGGAATTTCACGTTTTTGCTACTGYCTTGAAAAGTGTCAGGGTTTAATAGAGGTACCAGCGGAACGTCCCCGTTGAAATGTGGATCAAGTACCCYCGYCCCCCTTCCCCCGGTGAAAAATAATCATACTGACAAAAATATCGTGAAATARGCCACTACAATAGGTGAAACTATACCGGTGTTGTCTTTTCGCATTTTTGAYAAGCAATCCACAATTGTACCGTCAGCCAGTACCTTTAAAGAAACAAAACTCGATGATAAGYGTGCTCTATACAAAGTGTATTATCCTTTCAGTCCTTTCATGTAGCAGCGGCGTGTAAACGAGGTACACGCGAACAATAAGAAGAAAGTAAATCTCACCACTTCAAGTCCAAGAACACTTCCATGCAGWGATCCATACCGTATCATCCTTATTCCACCAGCATTGGTCGAGAGATTTCCCCCAATTTGACAACTAATAATCAATAATCGATCCATGTATTATAAAACATAGTCAACTATGTTGTCTTATTAATGGGCGGAACTCTATCATAAACTGAGAAAGTAAAGCTAGCCCTGCTTACAGGGTGAAACTCTTTTGTCTTCTTTTCCCTATAGAGGGCTTGAAAAAAGAGTTTGGTTCTACTACATAGGGGCACACAATCTCATGTTACAGGGACTAAACGAAACCTAGCCTGATTTTTATCCAGGTCTTGGGTCCTCCGCTTCATTCCATTCAGGCTTTGGTGGAAGAGTGGACCGTAAGTACCAAATGCGTTTGCGTTAGATTTACCTTCCCTTGGCTCCTAAATCCAGTGGCATAACAAAGCCCCTATCAGCAAGAAAACTATCGACATTTTCCAAAATGCATCCTGCTTCACAAGTCAATATCCCTAAAAACAAGAGTTCTATTAGTTGCATTCTATCTCGCTATTTTCCTACTTTTTTCTACTGTTCGGCTTTCCGATTCGTTTGTTCGTCGCTGCATCAATCCACCAATGTAACAGGACGTTACAACTATATCCACGATAAAAAGGGAAAAGAAGGCACACATATTGAAATTCGAAGGTACAAATATATGAATAATAATACTTCAAGAACATTTTAAGACCGTATAGCCAGGAATCTTAAATTGGTGCCGGGACTGCACAAAAAAGAATTCGAAATTGTTTTTACTAAAAATTCAAATAATTTTGAGAGATTCGTCGGATTCCGGATTCCGTGTGATGGGTTGATGTCTGAATTACACTCAGGTATATCTTTCTGACTTTGGGTTTGCTTCCGCTAGTACCGGGACGATAACAGAGCACAAATAGAAACAAAAGCTTAAAACAATGGAGCAAAATCTATACAGTGCCGAAGAGCCTAACCATAATACAATAGAAAGTRCAGAAATGTCTGAACTTTAGTTCCAAACTAAACGGAACTTATACATCTATAGTTGTACGTGAACATCGAGTATTCCCTAGATTACTGCCATGCCGTATAGTGCTGCAAACAACATACATAGTAGATGACTTCATAACATTTTCATATATATTCATAAAATTGGTTTTAATTACAAAGTAATAGCTGTAAGTCTCATAAAAAATGTTTCAATTATCTCTTGACTGTTTATTTTATACAACAATTATTTCACTTGAAACTTGTAAAATAAATACATGGAACATTAGGCATACACACAATGATTATTGGTCATCAGAAAACTGTGAAAAGATATCTTTACCTGATACTTCATCAAAATCAATAATGGTATTCATGTTGGAYAATGACAAAATTATCTCATCAAATACGGGAACGCTTCCACCTTGAAATAATATGAAGTTATTAGTCATGAAGTTACAATACTCAATATTCGTTTTTTGTTTCCATGATTATTACTATCATCAAAGATWTTTCACAAGATGTAAGAATACATACCTACAAGTCCAGTGTTTCCTCCTTGTGGATTTACTGCTAATCTATTTATTAAATAAAATTGCTTTGGTCTAACAYAATGCAAAATAACATTACATATGCCGAATTGAAAAAAATAAGGTTTTCAGGTCAAAAAAGCTGATATCATTTAAGGTAACACTGAGATGGGTATTTTAAGAAGCCTCCGTAAGCAGATGTTTTAAGGAGTTTGATCRAATTGAACGCTAAGAACGTCTGCTTATGGAGGCTAAATTTTAAGTGCAYAAATTCAAATCACACTTGGCTAACACCATAGTTACATTATACCATTACTCAARTAKTGAAGGCTTTTTACTCAACGCAGGCAATCTTTTATGGYACAGTAAACACTATAATTTTATGCTCATGATATTTGYTTTCATTTCCAATGCTCCCTTTTGGCAGTATTAGCATTAGTGATTTAACCTTTTGGAGCTAGACTATACATTTTTTACATTGTGTATAATTATGTCATCAAGTTGATAGTGTGACAAAAAGACTTATATTCATGTTATAACATTATATGCATCATGCAGTAATTTTATTGTGGTTGCAGGCTGCCAATGAAATGCTCAAAGAATCATTCCATGAATTTGAGTACCAATTTTAGAAACTCTTTAATTAGGTTTTCATTAGGTTTTACAATACCAAGCCACATAAAAAAAAACACTAGGCAAAACTAGGCCACTAGGTCATAAATGTGATTATAATGTTTTTGAGAATTGTAAAATCTAACAAACATGAGGATTATAAGCTTTTGAAATAGTAGTATGAAAATGTACCTTTTCTCACTGCAGTATTTCAAGATTTCAGATACTTCAATAGTTGTCTTGGGTTTTAACAAAATTTGACTTTGCCCTCTAAACCAATACAAAATATATTATCAAAATAAAAACCAAAACCTTTCCCAACAACACAGAATCTTGAATAAGTCTCGTTATGTTATAAATCAAAATACAGTCTATCAATTAAAAGATAGACCATTTTTAKAAGCCATGTTTAAAGTGAATAAATATATGAGAAGCCAATTTTTAAGAGACTAATCATATGGAGGGTACATAACTGTCTGTCAAATTGTCATGCAACCAGCCCAGACAAAATCTATGATGTGCAATTACTGATAGACTGCCATCAATCAACATTTTCAAACAACTGTTTGGTGCCAAAGCACTTGACAGCAGTCTGTTGCGAATTAAATTGAAGATTTTTTAATTTTTTTTTAGAAAAAATTTGTATCTGGAAAGTTCGAATAGCAAACAATGCAACTATTAGGACTCTTCCACTCCACACAATAGTCCTGAGGTTTTGGTTTCCTTATTCTGTATAATCTCCAGAGACAATGTGTTGAAACCACCAAGCGTCGTGGAAAAGTGTGGACATTAAATGTATCAAAATAAAACATTTTACTGAATGGATACAAGATCTCATTTGGATGTGATGGGCTTAATATAGGGCTTCAACTCAAGTAATTCCTAACCTGACAGTTTGTAACCAATCAGTGTTATGTGGTGCAATATCATCAGGGTCTGTAACTACTCTACCAGGAAGAATCCTTTCAAATGCTGTAACATCAGCATCAGTGACCTACCCACAAATAAGATNAGTTCTTCCACTTCGTTTTGGCTTTTTTCTCTCTGATCAGCTCGGGCACAAGACTAATAAATTCATCTTGTCATTGCTAAATCTTGACTTTAACTCTTCGATTACATTCCTAAAAATGTTCAAAAATGGTATTGCAACTGTACATTTCCAATAATCGTCAACTGTATTTGCTTCAACGTTGTCTCTGTGTGTCTATATATGTGTTTGACAAACACGTGGACATTCCTCAAGACAAAAGATCCCACTAACTTTGAAAGTCGCAAGACGTTAGCGTATATATACGTTGAAACCACACATCGATGTCAAATCGAAAGTCATTGTATGATGGAATGACCTCATCCACTCTTCGAAAACCAAAATAGTGAGAACTAGCGGTAAACTAGTGTGAGCTGGGTCGGTGTTTCTAAAGAAACAKTYGTGTAAAAAGATAAATTTAACACCGTAAAAAAGGTGGTATAAGGATTAACGTCCGAAAYGTCAGTAAGTTATTTCACATCCTTTTTTTACGGTGTTAAATYTATCTTTTTGAAAACCAAAATATGCCTTTCGATTCTATTGTTTTTGAATAAAAAAATTTGTATCGTTTTAGTCTAAGTTTCTATTATTACTAGTATATTATTGTTTTGTTTTTTTTTTCGAAGAGGAAMGGGGGTGACTTGTGRCCCTAATCACCACCCCTGGATCCGTCCCTGAGCTATTTAGTAGATAGCCTATCACTCTTGAATGCGCTGTTGAAATAAAGCTAGGTTGTAAAAAAGTTGAACTAAAAACAAATGCAATATTGTATGTATTTTGCAACAATCGGCCTGTAGCATCCTGTTCAAACTAAATGCTATAGTTGAAGATAAATATACTTACTACTTCATATAGTCAAATCGAGTGATTTGGGTATTGTTTTTGTTTTGTTTTAGACAAATTAATTATTTTAACAAGTTTTGATTAAAAGACCCCACGTAAACGGTCAAAAACAGTCACTCCCGATTCTCAGCCTCGCTTTCATGTTATACATATAAATGAGTCCAATTTTAACAACGTTCCCATGCCTCAATTGAATTAGACTTTTAGTATGTTGTTTAAGATGCTTTTCTGAGTTAGATTATGTAAAGAAACCTTCTGTTGCAATTAGTTCTAGGTCAAATTGTATTTTGACTGGACTAATTTGCATTCAAAAAAATCAAATGAAAATATAACGTGTAGAGGACTGACRTGACAAAGTTAAAATCATTAACTTAATGCACAAGTCAATTGAAACCCCCGTCCCCAACTCCCGGGACTAGCGGAGTATTAAATAGTGACATGCTTTTATCAGYAGGATTGGCCCGGGGGTCTTGATTTTGATGAATTGTTTTTGAAGCCGGGCAAAGAACAGGGATTTTAACTCTCGTTTGAACATTTATGAGCCTGGAAACCGTAGAGGTCGACCAATCTTGAGAAATACTCTGAAAGCATAGGTATTCAACCTTGTTTTGTATTTGTTTATTTTTCATGGTATGAAATTTTTTTAAAAGAAACTTATTACACAGTCCATAGCCTCAATGTAGTAYGCAAATGATTATACAGGATTATACAAAAATTAACCCTGTGTATCACAGAAAATTTGACTGAAAGGTGTTTGTTTTGTTATTTACTACTAGACCAAAATAGCTGGACAAGTCTAGCGGGGATTTTACCAATGAATGTGCCCCAAGTCTTACCGGGGTAAACATCTTATTTCAACGCCACTCCAACATTAAAAAGCGTTTCAATTGACTAGCATGCATAACACCCTTTAYTGGATGAGMAAATGCAAAAWAATTCTTGTCAAATCTATTATTTGGCATTTGCAATGTTTTCATGGGTGGTCCGTGAAGGTGGTCCATGGAGGGGTCCACGGACCGGGGGTCAGTGTTTTCAACTCTCCCCTTGACAGCAGTCTGTCGTGAATTAAATTGAAGATTTTTTAATTTTTTAAAAAAAAATTGTGTATCTGGAAAGTTCGAATAGCAAACAATGCAACTATATTTAGGACTCTTCCACTCCACACAATAGTCCTGAGGTTTTGGTTTCCTTATTCTGTATAATCTCCAGAGACAATGTGTTCAAACCACCAAGCATACATGTCGTGGAAAACTGTGTACATTAAGTGTATCAAAATAAAACATTACTGAATGGATACAAGATCTCATTTGGATGTGATGGGCTTAATATAGGGCTTCAAGTCAAGTAATTCCTAACCTGACAGTTTTCAACCAATCAGTG